AGCAGTCAGGAAAATCAGGGCGCGCCCACCCCATCGCCAGGAACCGCACATGAGGGGACTGGAGGACAAAAGACTGAGAACAAGATCCAACCGAATCCATAGTCACTCCCATGGGACCCATGCACACACACACACACACACACACCTATCTTTGTAGTTATGGTATTGTGGGGACACAAAACCAAGACATGCTTTTTGGGGACCAACCCTTCTGGTGGGTTAGCAGTGCATAAAAAATGCAGGCAACATCCTGTTGTGGGCATTAAAAGCTATTTAATTAGGGGGGCCACTGCCGTTGGCAAGGCCCACCTACTACTCTTCGCCATATTTATTCCGCGGCTTATTATAGTTCTCCCGTTTCCGCGGACCGCTTCTCGGCCCGCACGGTTCGACGGATCGGGCCCAAAGTCGGCACGCGCGTCCGGACCCACCTAGCCATGCGTGCTATTACTTATCTTTCTCAAAGGAACGGGCGTTTCCGAGTAAACGGCGAAAAAAGTGGCGAGCGTTTTCCCATAGGAATGCATGGGGGCCGCCGACAAACGGGCCCAAAAAATCGATCGGCCCCACGACGTCCGAGAGACCTCGTTCGAACATTGAACGGGACACGAAAGACGGGCCTCCGCCATATCGGAGCCACGAGGCCAGATCTCGCCCCGTTTGCCCGCAATCGCTGTTGACGTTTTAGTGAAATTCAGAAAATCAGAGATCCTGGCCCGCACTCTAGCTCAGCTCGTTAAGGCCTCTTAGAGCCCCGTGGGGACGTTCACCACAAAAAAGTCAAACTATGGCCTCTCGCGACCAAACCGTGGGGCCGAGCAGCGCCAAAATGGCCTCAAAACATAGCCGCGGGCGTCCTCTTTTGGTCGATGTGCCCGCTTTCCACATTGGCCTTACGGTTTTCCGGCAATCAGGCCCAGAGTCCAGACTTTCCCGACCCTCTCCAATAGGATTTGAATGGAAGAAAGGAGAGATTTTTTTCACCAGAGCCAAAACGGCCCTCATTTTGAAATTGCCATAAAAAATAACTGCTGGGAGCAGCCAAAAAATAAATAGACGTGCTGAGACCTAAAAGTCTCGGCCCGCTCACGGTCCAAGAATTTTTCAGTTTGGTGAAATAGTTTCCGAACAGCGTACAGCCGTTCGGAGGCAACTTTTGATCAAAACTGTCAGTTGTCTGTGTCAGAGCTACGGCTTACTGATGAGTTACAGGTGTGGGAGTTGAGACTTGGGCCTGGCTGCTGTTGCCGTGGCGATCAGTGGTGGGTCTCTGCTGAGCTGTGGAGCTGATGATACAGTGGTCCTGGGTCAAGGCGGGCGAAGCCCGCTCTCAGTGATTTTTTAAGAAATCCCAGTCATGTCATACCTCGTTGCGTAGGTCTTTTTCTCAGCTTTCAGGCAATGTGACCCCCAACCTGCTCAAACCAATTCCATTCAGTCGGCAACCCCAGAATTCAGCCAGGTCCCTCCATCACTGCGTCTCTCCCTCAGGCCCTCTCATAGGCGCGAGCCCACATTACAGAGAGCCCAAATATCGATTGGCCGACCTGCCCCGGGTTCCTGGACGGGCAGTAAGTGGCCCCCCTCAAAATTTCTAAAGAAATTTTCGAGTTTCAAATAGCCAATCAGACAAAGTAGAGTTCCCAGACCGGACATGAAGCACCTTCCTGGTGACTTTTCAGGGTTTTAGTCACATGTGAGGTCCCAACATATACACTGTTTGGTTTTCTATCTTTCTGAGTACCTCTTTACACCGATTTATGTAAAAGTCCCTTAGGGGAACCACATAACACCTTTTACTGTCAGGATGAGGGCTGTCCAACATTGATAGCACAATATGGTATTCCTCCACTGAAGCTTGGCAGTATGTCAAAATGTACGTTCTCTTAAACTGGCAGTTCCCATAGAACTTATCCAACTAACACAAAAAATTGTAACAACTGCTTACAAAGGGAAGGCAAGGAATAGTTTCATCTTTTTGGTGTTATAAAATATTCAACTTGAGCCCCGATAAAGAACCGTGCTCGACAGGTTGTAGGCAAAAGACGAGGAATTCATGAAGCCAATCTTTGTTTGGAAAAAAATCTAACTATATCGGAAAATCTCTTTTGCAAAACCGACAACATAAAAAAGGTTTATGATGTTGACAGTGTGACGGCTGTAATGATAAAGGAAGGAATGGCAAAGAGTGGTCCCACCTCAGACAGATCAGTTCAGACTTTGCTTTGACCAGTCGAGAAATGATAGAAGCCTGGCTGGTGTGTTTTATATTGGCCATCTGTATGTCTCCGCCATGCTGAGTGCAACGTCACCATTACCTCCTCTCTGCTGATCATTCAGATTTTGAACGGAATGAGACGGGTTGTTGCTTTATTTTTATTTTGCCCCCAGAAGAAAAAAAACAATCCAGGGCTGCAAAGCAAGTTTAAGGTACTTAGAAGAAGACTTAAAAATGAACCAGCTGTAGTCTTAGACTTTTGGATGCAGTATTATCATTTTCTTACAGATCCACTTTTCCAAACAGTAGTCCAATAT